TCTAGAAACTTAAAAATGGACATTTTTCGAAATAAGTTCAGAAAAAACTATTATCACGGAGGACGGTAGTCCGACAAGTGACGCTCTAACAACCAGTGTTGTTAGATAGGCTGGACAATTGTCCACTTTTGCATAATCTGGCGTAAGCCAACACAAATTATCCAGCTATCAAATGACGTCAAACGTATTTAAACGCATTCATTGCTTATGGTTGGCTTACGCCCACATTCTGCATAAGCCAGTGAATGAACTACGGTGGCGTATGCCATTCCATCACTGCCAACAACTGTGTATTTCAAGCCAAATGTCGAAAATGCCAGTTTTTGCGTCACGAGTATATATACAGTAGGTATGCTATTTTCTCAGGACACTATTTGAGCCCCGGCATGTTAGGTACCGCCCAAAGAAATATCTTGCGTCACGACTTTTGGACGGCAAAACGCTTTAAAGCTTGACTTGGAGACCAAATTCAAAAGTCGTGACGCAAGATATTTATCCTTATTGTGAATAAATATTGTTACAATAGTGAATGCGAAAAACACTTTTGAACTTCGTACCCAGTGATAATACAGCGTCCTAGCGTCACTCAAAATGATATCAGTCATTTTGAGTGGTAAATCCACGCACAGGAGCGTACTCCATTTTAACCTCGTCTAGGGGTATTTCATCTGATACTCGTGACGCAAAAACTGGCATTTTTGACATTTGGCTTGAAATGCACAGTTGTTGGAGCGTCACTTGTCGGACTACCGTCCTCCCTGATATTCAACATCAGCATTGTTTGCAGCATATTGAATCTATTCCAATTGTTCTGAAATATTAATTTGGTTTCTTTTACCGATTAAAACAGGGGGATTGAAGATTAACAGTTGAGCTGCACAAAGATAGAAATGCCATGTCATATGGAGACGCCATTTTTATCTTTGCTTGGAGCGACTGGAGCGGTCATACATTTCTCATTCATTTTTTTCTAAAATAATATTATTATAACAAATTAAATATTTTTCAAGTGCATCTTATTTTCATTATCTTTGTTTGGCACAATTATAAAATCATAAAAACATAGTTTCATGAGACATAACATGCGTGTTATTGGAGCGGCCATCGAAATTGATTACAATAGTAGCCAACATTGATTACATCAATAACCAATCACCGCGATGGTCTCGATCATTAAACGTCAAACCAACAACGCCACACATTTTGACGGGAACTACATTGATGAGTGTATTCAATGCAGTGTCAAACATAGTCGTCATTGTGTTGTGTGGTGAAGTAATAATTATTATTTGAATTTCAAATAAATAAAATTGTTTCGATTCTGCCAAATGAAATTGTGCAAATATTCCGCTGACAAGACAAAAAATTGCTTTCTTTCGTTAGATTAAACCCGTATTTAAAAAAAAATGTTTTTCTTCCATTTTCAATTGAGTTGTATAAGAGAAAATTACGGTTTTATATGATATATTGGAGTTTCCATAATTAAAAAAAAAACACAAAATGTTAGATTCAAAATAAAAACTGATTCGTGGCAGAATTGTTTTTTTTAATTTTGCGGATCATACTGAGAAAACGTTTGCGTTCGAACAGAAAACTACACTGAAACAGAAGTCGATTTGACATTAGCTGTCAAACCAACAAGATGAACAAGTGCGTTAGTGTAATGTTACCAACCATTTTGAAAAACAATATTAGCCGCTCCATTGTGAATTCGGTGTGTTGCCGCTCCATGGTGAATTTGTAGAGATACCGCTCCAACTGGATCGGCTGCTATTAATTATTGCTGTGGGATCAATGTTTGATTTATCTTTTTGATTTTTATTAATACGAAAGTGTTATTTAACCATCGGCGTGACATGCTTCATACAAACGGAATTTCGTACAAGCAGCGCCCGCGTACTTCGTAGTGGAAAAAAAGTGAAGCTTGCTTGTCACCAATATTGATGTTCACGAACATCAAATTGTTTATGCGTTATTTCGCCCATTTTATGAACTGGAAATGAAAAGTTCTTCAATTTCTAGCAAATTTCACATATGAATTCATAAACACATCGAGAAAACACAACTTTTTTTCACATAAAAAGCAAAAGCAAGATGATTTTTTCGTTGATGGTTGTTCGATCCTGGATCGTTTGTGATTCATTAATGATTTGCAACACATCCATTTTTGATTTCGATATTCCAACTGAATACGATGTTTTGTATTCATTAAACAATTCCATTTTGATCACAAAATAATTTTTTATTAAAATGGCTATGACGAAAAACCACGCGAACGATTGCAAACGATAGCACAAACATTAATGTCTAGGAACATCTAGATATTGATGGCCGCTCCAAGAACGCGCATGTTATGTGTTATGAAACTATGTTTTTATGATTTTATAATTGTGCCAAACAAAGATAATGAAAATATGATTGAATTCGGAGAGTTGCCGCTCCAACGGGATCGGCCACAGGTAATTGTTACTGAGGAATCAATATTTGATTTATCTCTTTGATGTTTTTAATACGAACGTATTATTTGGCCTTTTTCACTTCATCTTTGAAAAAACATCAAATAAAAATGTAATTGGGTGTTAAAATTATTGCACTGTAATATTGGTCATTAATGTAACCAATATTGGTTACTATTGTAAACAATTTGGATGGCCGCTCCAAGAACGCGTATGTTATGTGTTATGAAACTATGTTTTTATTATATTCCTATTGTGCCGAACAAAGGTGATGAAAATAATAATGACACTTGAATCAAAATATTTTAATGTTATAATCAAATTTATTAACAAAAACCAAAAAAAAATGAATCAAAAATATATGACCGATCCAGTTTTTGTGTGGCCGCTCCATCAGCATGATTGTTAGTTGTGCAGCTGACCAACTGACAAGCAAACTGCAGCGCTAGTGTCTATGTGTCAAAATTTTCAATCCCCCTGGTTTTAAAGGTTGGCGACATTGTCGTGACCTGAAAAGTAATACAGATCAATGAAAAAGATCAAAGCGGTATTTAATTTAGTCAGCAGTACCATAATTAACAGCTAACTGACGAGGTGTTAGATTCTGCAGATTTCTAATATCAACTTTGGCTCCTTTTTTGATGAGAAGTTCAGCAACATTCTTGCGACCTTAGGAATAATTTAGATCGATGAAAAAGATCAAACCGATTCTTTATTTTGTGAAAATACTTATTCAACATTACCATGTATAGCAGCATAATGAAGAGGTGTATCATTGAATTGAGACATGACATCCATATTGGCGCCTTTGTTGATGAGAAGTTCAGCAACATTTTTGTGACCTTAAAAATAATTCAGATCGATGAAAAAGATCAAACCGATTCTTTATTTTGTGAAAATACTTATTCAACATTACCATTCATAGCAGCAAAATGAAGAGGTGTGGTATTCAAATTATTTCCAATATTAGCGTTAGCTCCATTCTTGAGAAGCACATCAGCGACACCTCCGTGACCTAAAATAATACGGATCAATGAAAGAGATCGACGGGATATCTGATTTAGTCAACCTTACCATTCATAGCTGCCAAATGAAGAGGTGTCTGATGCAAATTATTTTTAATATTAAGATCGTTTGC